TGGAAATATCTCCTTGAATCAGGCCTTTCAACGCAGTCTCGAGAAATCATACTCCAGTCTTGGAGACCTGGAACCAATAAACAGTATGATCTTGTCTGGCGCCGATGGTGTCTTTGGTCTTTTTCCAAGTAAGTATGATCCGCTGGATCCGTCTTTAGGAAATGTTATAAATCATCTGGCTGATCTCTCAATCGAGAGCTCATATAGTGTTGTTAACACTCTCAGATCAGCTAATTAAACATTGAAAATTCTTGGTAAAGATCAGTCTTTAGTCAGGCGCTTCATGAAAGGTCTTTATGATAGGAAGCCTCCTAGGCCTAAATATTTGGTGACCTGGGATGTCTCTGTCTTGGTGCGTTATCTTTCCACCGTACATCCTTTGGAAAATCTTTCCCTTAAACTCCTAATATATAAATGTGTCTACTTATTGTCACTTTGTACTAGTCAGAGATGTCAAACACTAACTGCATTTGATATAAACAATATTTTAGACAATGGTTCTTCTGTCTCATTAAGAGTCAATAAAGTCCTGAAGACTTCATGGGTTAACACTCCATTGTACTCCATTCATTTATAGAATTTTGTAGATGTTAAAGTTTGTGCTACTCTTAGGAGATACTTGAAACAGACTGCAGACATAAGGAAGTCTGATCAACTCTTTATTTCTTTTCATACTCATAGTGCTGTCTGTGCATCCACCATCGCGGGATGGATCAAGAAGAGTATGTTGGTCGCTGGGATTGATACTAGTATTTTCAATGCTCACTCAGTTTGGAGTGCAGCAACATCAGCGGCATTAAAATCTGGTTGTAATATTTCAGATGTAATGAAGACTGCCAGTTGGAAGAATGCTGATACTTTTGCCAAGTTTTAAAAGAGGGAGACTGTAAATAATGTAACACAGGGTTTTCAAGAATATATATTAAAAATCTAATATTGGTTGTGTTTTTTCAGTTGTCAACCCTTTAAAATTGCATTCATAAATCCGAGATGCCCGAAGGGCAATAGTGGAATATAATTCCCCTCTCATCCGAGCGCCCAAAGGGCTATGAATATATAGCCCGAAGGGCTCGAGGATTTATCCTCCCTCCCTTGTGTCCCTCCCTTGGCTTTTTTTGGTTGCCAACTTTTACTTTAAAAAGACAATTGATCACAATCGAGCTATGGGTTATATAGTCACCATATCTAGTCACGATTGCTTGTGTATACATACAAGCACGTGAATTTTTCTTTCTATGAACGTTGATTGCGTGCATTTTCTAGTGCAGAACAAGAATAATGCATTCATAAATACTCGAGCCCTTCGGGCGCTCGGATGAGAGGGGAATTTTCTAACAATTGATTAATTTGGAATCATTTACGCTTCGCTTTAACTCTACATTTACGGAGCCGGTATGTTGATTCTAAATTAATCTTACTTATGTTAGTCTAAAGGTTAATTTTAGGCGGTCTGAATTTTGTATTTGTCTCCATTTAATTGCATTGTTCTCTGGTGTTATAGTTTTATGTTGGTGTGGACTATAAACACAACGTTCAGGAGGACAGTTTTACTCAGAATGAATATTATACAATAATGACATGCGCAATAGACCGTACAATACGTCACGCAAGTGGTTATCACATGATACAACATCCCCCTGTTTTTGTAAGATAACATTAATAGTTAAGGTTTGAATTGTTCAATTATATTTAAATAAATATATTGGTCTTTGTAACGACTTGGTGTTTTTATTTCACGTCCAGATCTCGACTTCACATATTGATGTTCTGATGAAGGGCGCGTAGTGGGTTTGTCTTCTTCCGTTGTACTGTTGGTTGGTGGAATTATTGGATTCGATTCTAGACCGTTGTGATTTCCATGCAATGGTAGGGCAATGGTTGGAGTTGGTTGGGGTAGTGCAAATCTTACTGTTTTAACTGGTTTTGGAAAGGTGTTATAACTTAACAGTGTTGGCTGTGGTTGTGTTGATGCTCGTTGATGCACTTCCCGTAACTGAGATC